GATATACTGGTAGTTTACACCATAAAAAGAAAGGTCTATAAAAACCTTTATATAATCTACAGAGACGTACGACCATTGTCTTGTAACATCGCAGTGTGGGTATACAGTAATGGGATAGGCCTATTATTGGTTGGTTGGGTTTATTCAAAAATAGAATGTTACTGTATTTTATACTGGTACCGTTAAGAAAAATGTATACTCATGCTTTTGGTCCGCACAAATTGATTCCTCTGCTTTTTATTGTCTTTTACACGCCACTAGATTTGAAACTACTTTGCATGTCTCGAGATAAATACTCATTAAAGTTTACTATGACGGCAGTTAAATTGAAAGAGTTTTCAAGTTCAAATACTTTATATTGCACGATCAATCAACTGATGTTTTTTATGTTACGTCTCTAGATAAATTCTCTTAGATTGCCGTAAAATTCTGATGAAATGATGGGGTCGCATTTCTTTATTTTTCTTTAAGGGTGACTACAATTATTGGTTACTAATACAAGAGTAACTGGTCACCATTATCACTATTATCAAGCACTTTCATCATGTGAGAAATCATAATCTACTCTCGCGCCTTTTTTATCCACACGAATGTCTGTACAATGCACTTTACAATTGCCTAAACGTTACTCATTAATCCTGGAGTTGTTTTACAAAATTTAGGCAATTTCTCCGTTTTACCGAGGCATTGTAGTAGTTACCATCTTTAAACAACTGTTTTGTCATCATCTTTGATCATCATCAATTCATCATCAATAGCTGGGTCACTACATCACATTATCGAATTAGCAAATGTGTCAGGAAGCATATAATCCATAAACCCACTATGTTCTATAGGTCTATTATCAGAGTAGAGGATCATTGTTATATAGGCCTATTAATATTTAAGGTGGTTGCTGTAAGAACATGGGTCACATAGTCTATTGAATACTGGGTATTTTTGTAAACCTTGGGGTTCACTTGACTTTCGATTGCTGTAGTACCGGTACGGAAAATTTACACAAAAATATTATATGGAAAACCCTCAAACATTTAATTATTAGGTCTAACATAGGTTATCAGCCTACAATGAGTCAGATGGAAAAAAAAAACAGTTTCCGCTAATTTACCGATTTTTTATTTTTTTTTCAATTTTTTTTTTACACGAAAATTCTTAAAATAATTAGGCCACTATCTGATTTTGGGTGTATGCAAAGAATACACGAACCGTAAAATTTATACGTCTGTTACAAGAAAAATAGTTTATAATTTTCAATTGAAAGATAAAAAATTATGCTTTTATACGGTAATTAATTAAGTTTGTTCTGGCCTCTACTTTTTTTAAATTTTGAATAAACTATTATGATTTCAGTTTTTATCAAAACCTGATTTATTAAGTGTAATTTTAGTGGATCAGAATGCCGCAAACTTTAAACATTGACCGATTTTGTAAGGTTGGTTTAAAGCTTTATCCGAAGATAAATGGATCATTTTAGCAAACGTTGATAAGTTGGGAACACGTGAAATATAATTTAGACTATGTATTATTTTGAGAAAAAATAAAATAAATAGAAAATGTAATGTTTTGTAGGATGTGAAATTTT